GTTCTGCCCTAAACAATATTTTAGAGTTGTTAAACATGCAATATGATGCCACCATGTTAAACTAGGCAAAATTCTACCCCATTTACATATAAAGTTTATTAAAATTGGAGTTACGGTTATTTAGTTATGAAATAAAGCATTTTAGCATGGCATAGGAGCAAATTAATGCAAACAGCATTTTTATCATCTCAAACATAGATGAAAGTTGGATATTATTAATCTACACAAAATTTTGAGCAAGTTTCATATATAAAACATTTAAATCCGATGCACGGTTCATGAGTTATTAAATGCATGAACTAGGGGGACTATACTGCAAAACTGCTGTCTCAGGAATAATAGGAAAAATCCCAGGCGCTGAAAAAAACACATCACGGGCCGAATCTGAGGTAAGCCCAACAATGAGGAAAAAAATAGAGGAGGGGGCGCTGGGGTCGGCTCACCCAGTGGCCTTGGCCCGGTACGCTGGAGAGGCCACGGCAGGCCGGATCTGACGAAGGGGAGGCGCGCTGGGCCGGAGGCGAGCGAGGCTGGACCGCGGGGAGGACGACTGGGCCGGCGTGGTGCGGATCTGGCCCGGCTGGCCTGGCACTACGCTGCGCTGGGCTGGTCGGGGAAGCAGGCCGGCGATGAAGGGCCGGACGAAGGGGAGCTGGGCCTGGTGCGGAGGCTGGGCCGGACCAGGTCGCGGTCAACGGCGGACGCGCTCGTCGTCCTCCTCGACAGGAGAAAGAGCGAGGCCATGGCGGCGGCGGTGGCGGCTCGATCCGGCGACGGCGGCCGGCGTCAGGAGCGGGGAAGGTAGGGACGGACGGGAATGGCCTGGAGGGGCTCGGGGCGCTGCGGATCCGAGGAGGATGGCGCCGGATCCAGCCAGGGCGAGGCTGCGGAGGTCCGGCGGCTCCGGCCGGCGAGCTCAACGGCGGTGGAGCAAGGACAGAGAGGCGCGAGGCGCTGGGGACGGGCAACGCTCGGGCTGGGTGGCGGCGCGGTCGGGCTCGCGCGGGCCAGATCTGGGCCCCGCGGGTCGGCGGCGAAGTGGGCGCAGGGGAGGTGAGGATCTAGGGTTTAGACTGCGAAATGATCGAAAATTTCGGGGAGGGGTGCTCTTTTATAGATAGAGGGAGCTAGGAAGCTCCAAATGAGGTGCGGTTTTCGGCCACGCGATCGTGATCGAACGACCGAGATGATGGAGCAGAGTTAGAAGGGTTTTTAGGCCAAAATGGAAGGGTGTTGGGCTGCAACACACACGAGGCCTTCTCGATCCCTCGGTTAACCGTTGGAGTATCAAACGAAGTCCAAATGGTACGAAACTTGACAGGCAGTCTACCGGTAGTAAACCAAGGCCGCATGACAAGTCTCGGTCCAATCCGGAAATGTTTAATCCCCACACAAGAAAGAAAGATAGAAATGATCACCGGAGGAGAACGAAGCGCCGGAATGCAAAACGGACAACGGGGAAAATGCTCGGATGCATGAGACCAACACGTATGCAAATGCAATGCACATGATGACATGATATGCAAAGCATGACACGCAAGCAATGACAAGGCAACAACGGCGAATAACTGAACGACACCTGGCACATCGGTCTCGGGGCGTTACACTCCCCTTGTCCAATTCGGACTCCCTAGGGGGGTCACCCCCTTGTAGGCTGCTTTACCTCTCCCCTATGACCCATATGGCCCATTACTTCCCCCGGGAGGTTCCGGTAACCCCTCGGTACTATGATAAATACCCAAAACACTCTGGAACCATTCCGGTGTCCGAATACTATCGTCCAATATATCAATCTTTACCTCTCGACTATTTCAAAACTCCTCGTCATGTCCGTGATCTCATCCGGGACTCCGAACAATCTTAAGTCACTAAAACACATAACTCATATAATACATATCGTCATCGAACATTAAGCGTGTGGACCCTACGGGTTCAAGAACTATGTAGACATGACCGAGACACCTCTCCGGTCAAATAACCAATAGTGGAACCTGGATGCTCATGTTTGTTCCCACATATTCTACAAAGATCTTTATCGGTCGAACCGCAATGTCAACATACGTTATTCCCTTTGTCATCGGCATGTTACTTGCCCGAGATTCGATCGTCGGTATCTTCATACCTAGTTTAATCTCGTTATCGGCAAGTCTCTTTACTCGTTTTGTAATGCATCATCCCACAACTAACTCGTTAGTCACATTGCTTGCAAGGCTTCATATGATGTGCATTAGCGAGAGGGCCCAAAGATACCTCTCCAATACTCGGAGTGACACATCCTAATCTCGATCTATGCCAACCCAACAAACACCTTTGGAGATACCTGTAGAGCATCTTTATAATCACCTAGTTACGTTGTGACGTTTGATAGCACACAAGGTATTCCTCTGGTGTTCGGGAGTTGCATAATCTCATAGTTTGAGGAATATGTATTTGACATTAAGAAATCAGTAGCAATAAATCTGAACGATCATTATGCTAAGCTAACGGAAGGGTCTTGTCCATCACATCATTCCACTAATGATGTGATCTCGTTCATCAAATGACAACTCATATCCATGGCTAGGAAACTTAACCATCTTTGATCAACGAGCTAGTCTAGTTGAGGCATTCTAGGGACATGGTGTTTTGTCTATGTATTCACACATGTATCAATTTTCCGGTTAATACAATTCTAGTATGAATAATAAACATTTATCATGATATAAGGAAATATAAAATAACAACTTTATTATTGCCTCTAGGACATATTTGCTTCAGTCTCTCACTTGCACTAGAGTCAATAATCTAGATTATATTGTAATGAATCTAACACCCATGGAGTCTTTGTGCTGATCATGTTTTACTCGTGGAAGAGGCTTAGTCAACGAGTCTGCCACATTTAGATCTATATGTATTTTGCAAATCTCCATGTCTCCCTCCTTGAAAAAATCTCGGATGGAGTTGAAGCGTCTCTTGATGTGTTTGGTCTTTTTGTGAAATCTGGATTCCTTCGCCAAGGAAATTGCTCTAGTATTGTCACAAAAGATTTTAATTGGACCCGATGCACTAGGTATTACACCAAGATCGGATATGAACTCAATATCCAGACTCCTTCATTTGCTGTTTCCGAAGCATCTATGTACCCCGCTTCACACGTAGATCCCGCAAAGACGCTCTGCTTTAGTGGTGTGGGCACCCAACCTTTAGGTTTTTTTAGGAAAAGTCCAAAATAAACCTTGAACTTGTAGACCAAAGATAAATCAAACCCTGAACTCTTAATCCCGGAAATTGGCACTCTCAACTTGTCAATCCCGATCTACTTCGAACCTTCAAAGCGTTCAATCCCGATCTACTTCGAACCTTCAAAGCGCCACGCTGAACTCAAGGTACGCATACATGATAGACAACGTGGCGCGCGCGCGCGCA